GTTGGTTTATTGCTATTGGGTTATTAGGTTAACAGTTTATTAATGGATTTATTAAGAAAATTATCGGGTTATTTGTTCAGTTTTGGTTTTTTAATATTGGGTTATTGGGTAAACCGATAATTCATGAAGACTATAGTAATTTACTACTGTACCTGTACAAAAATATTAAATATTAATATCAATACCTTACAAGTTACTGCCTTTGCCCTTTAGCCTTCAATTTGCACTTCACAATAACTTTGAGTTCACACCTTCACATTATACAAAATGTCAAAACCTAAAGTAAGAACCATATTCCTCTTGTCGCGTCAAATTGTTGGAGGAGTCATACAAATATTTCATAAGAAATTTCTCATTGATTAAACCGAAAATCAAATCGTTAAGGATCAAAACCGATAAACCGATAAAAAATATATAATCGAATTGGCTATTGGTTTATCATACTTGAAAATCAAAAATCGATAATAGATCATAAAACTGAACTGAATCGACTGATGAACACCCCTAGTGATTTGTCATCATCAAATCTGTTAAGAATATATTGAATCATAATATAGTTTCACGTTTTAATATATTAAAATAATAAATCAAACTACATAGATTATAATAATTATATCAGAATTAAAAGTATAAATACATGTAATTCACAAGAGAAATTATTTATTAATATTCATAATATAAACGAACATCTCTACTTGATCCGTTCAGTACATACAAAACGTACTAGCGCAAGAAATTGGAATATTACCGCTGTCATAATTAATATCAACTTATATTTAATCTTATGCTATAGTTATTTATTGTGAACATTTATTTGTAACTTTGCATGAGTTAATTAACACTCCATATACAAAATTGTCTACGATATATGTAAAAGTCAAACATATTAACACAAAGATCTATTCATATAAAAACTTTATACAAAGTAAAATAAAATAAAAAGTGTTTACTAGGGATTAAAATGTAATACTATAACTTACCCTCATGGCTAATAGTATACCCCAATAAGTTTAATTTCTTCGGGTGTGTTGTAGGAAGGAAGATATTTTCTCAGAGTGTTTTTCAAAAACCTCAATGGATTAATCACTTAATTATTTTCTTGTGTGCTGTAAATATATAAATAATATTATTTTAAAAGAATTTGTATATAATGTATAGAAACATTATGGAATTGGTGGGTGTGGGCGTAGGGCTGTGAGGTATGGGTTATGTACCGTGGGGTGAGGTGAAGATAAGATGTGTTTGGATGTTGCTGAGGATATCAATCAATATGATATACCATTTATGGAACCTTTTTTTCCCTCATAAACGTTGTTTTTATCATTTTAAAGAAACTAGTATACGTACCCGCGCGTTGCGCGAATATTTGAAAATGAATAATTTTTTTATTTAAAAATAATTCATGTGAATTATTATTGAGTATTAAAATTGCAGGTGCAATCATATATAATGTTTTGATTTTATATTAATAGTTGATGCTAATAAAACTTTATCCTTTAAAGAGATCACACATTTTTCTAACAACTTCTATTTTTCATTGTATTATGAAAATTAATAATAGCATATGTGGTGTGTGTTAGATTGATAGTTGTGTTAATTAATTAAATTTAAAATTTATAGACCGGATTTGAATTTAGCATTAAAAATAATAACTCTAACTTTAGTAAAAATATTAATATAATTTGTAAAATATATTGCAACCTATTCGCACACTCCTCTCTAGTTCAAACTTGTAACGTAAAATGATTTTCATTTAATTAAACAAATATAAATACATAAAATAAGGATACACAAAATCAAATTATTATTCAAATTTAAAAAACTTAGACATTCGGATACTAATTTGGATAACTACCATTTTTTAAAAATAAATTTAAAAAGGAGACCTCAGAAGTAGTTAAGTTCTTTTTATTTTTATTTATTTTTCCAAAACCGTATTGTCTTTTTAGTGTTTACCCTTTTTATTTTATTGTCAATTGTTAATTAATTTAATTCATAAATTCTACATATTATTTTATATGCAGATTATTTTGTTTTAATAAAGAAAATGCAAATGTGGGGATTCCTTTTTGTTTTTTTCTTTTTAAACTGATTTTTT